CTTTATCTCAATCTCATTAAAATCAGATCTTAGTTCTCGCTCTCGCTAATTCTCGGTAGCGAAAACTAAGATCTGATTTTTATGAGATTGGGCTTTATCTAGGTTACCAACCCACGTGTCCTTGACACTAATATCATCACTTTCTTCAAAATTGAGTTTTAAATACAAGCCATTAGTTAGCTGGAAAATAGTTTAATCTAGTTTGCAAATCTTAACTGATATTTGCTGCAGATATGGGTGCTGAATATAGGCCTCAGAGCAGGCCTAGATATAAATCCCTGTTTGAGATTAGCAGTTTGGTGTCTCATGAAAAATACCACACTGTGAAGCAAAGATGATGAATTGGTTCAGTGGTGCCTGTTGGCAAATCACATACTGTATAAGAAAATAAGAAATGACTAGCATAGCATCAGAAAATAAACACACATTTATCATGTTGTTTATCAATACAGGAACGTATTATATTACTAAGCATAAAACATGAAAATTGGAGGACAACCATATTTCGCATGAGTTGATCACACTCACACCTCCAGTTGTTAAAATCTCATCGATCAACCAGATCGGTGAAGATTACTGTGTGCTACTACATACAGCATGAAGACCAGTGAATAAGTTATGGGTAATGGACGGCACCAATACTTAATTGACAGCAATATGTGTTAGTAGCTCCTTGTCAACTTGTATGGTCAGCTGCAATATACAATGTAATGTACATCTATGTACATGCGTATACTATAATGTTAAAATGCCATTTGTAATTATTAAAGCTACATAATGTTCATGATGTACTTGTAATTTTATGACAGACATCATACTTGGTATTGTGTACAACACTAGGTAAAATAAATACACCTTTTTGTCCTATTAAGCCTTAATGAGTATGTACATTGATGTAAATATATATATTTATTTTGATTGTTTGTGAAAATATGAATGAAACAGTTTTATCATACGATTATCTAACATTTTGTTATAGTTATAAAGGGAATATCATGAAAGGTACAGTACAGGATGAAAAGAAGACATTTTACCTTTTAAAAAAAATCAGAAAATAACGTAATTTCATTTTAATTACCTATTCATATTTTCATCATTGAATTGAATGTAAATTAATTGTTTCAGTTTCCTAATTGTGGTAAACTGTAACCAAATCCTCCTGCAATTAACAGTCACAGATATGTTGGAAGTATTTCTTTTACGTGTTGCGAGTTTCCGGAGTGCAGTAAAACCTCCTTAATCTTGTACCTATACCGGTGACTTTGTCTGCACTAAAACATTCCAGGTTGGCGAATAATGAGTGCAGGAAATGTTGCTGTAAACACATACTGACATTCAAGATCCACTGGAATGTGCGGTTTTCCACAGTAACGTTTTTTCCCTGAATGGAAAGAAAACACCCCGCCTTTGTGGCCGGGGTGAGTGAGACTATGGCTGAAATTCATCTAAAAAACTCATGAAACCTGTTTAGCTGAAATTCATCTAAAAAACTCATGAGACCAGTTTAGCTGAAATTCATCTAAAAAAACCATGAAACCAGTTTAGCTGAAATTCATCTAAAAAACTCATGAGACCAGTTTAGCTGAAATTCATCTAAAAAAAACCGTGAAACCAGTTTAGCTGAAATTCATCTAAAAAACTCATGAAACCAGTTTAGCTGAAATTCATCTAAAAAACTCATGAGACCAGTTTAGCTGAATTCATCTAAAAAACTCATGAGACCAGTTTAGCTGAAATTCATCTAAAAAACTCATGAAACCAGTTTAGCTGAAATTTATCTTAAATAGCTCATGAAATCAATTTAACTGAAATTGAACTTTAAAAATTCATGAAACAAATCTAGCTGAAATTCATCTAAAAAAAATTAATGGAACCAGTTTAGCTGAAATAGATTTTTAAAAAGTTCATGAAATCAGTTTAGCTGAAGTTCATCTTAAAAAACTCATGATGTTCTTTATATTCTAAACATAAAACACACAGCGGGAAACCATTTTTGGAATGGAACATGAAAAGACATTTTGGAAAAGCCTTCAGTTGGAAACAACTTTGTCAGTCAATCAATGTCAGGTCTAAACTAATCAGATACGAAACTATTTCATAGCAGTACAAAACCTTGTCAGCAGACCACGCCTATCTACGTTCCAAGCTCTTGCTTACCCTGAAGTGCAGGTAGGTTATAGCTAATTTAATCATATTTAGGTTTCACATCAAACAATTACAGAGTCAGGGACTGAATCTGTTAAGGTGACAGCTGTCTCAATTATTGTATCTTAGAGTAAGAAGCCAATCAAGGCGAGTCATTCTGGTACGAACAGAGGTAGATGTATCTACAGATATAAAATATTATAACATTTCAAATGCAGTTTGTTGAGTCATAATTATCAGAAACCTGGGGAAAACATCACGATTTTCAATCTGTTTATTCCTACAATCCTACCCTTATATATAGTTCAAAAGAATAGTCAACCTTATTTGTAGAAAGATATTCTGTTTCGTATTCTTGTTTTATGTATGAATCTGCTCTAACCATGGCAAAGCTTATATTTGTTTCTCTTAAAATCAAGGAATTTCAAGGTTAACTTCACATTTTGATGAATAATCAACAGAGCTTTTCAAAATGAAATCAATCTTAGAATTAGTCTTTGCAAAAAAATTTTTTTTCAGTCTTTCAATAACTTTACCTTCTGTATGTTGTCATAGTTGCTGGAATAACCAGGATCCAAGACCTAAACATGACCTAGCCTTATGATGAAAACATTGATGTTTGTGATAATTGATTATGTCCTACTGTCCTCTTTGGACATAACAAACTCAGATACCGTATTTCCTCTATTAGACGCTGAGGCTCTAATAGACGCCGGGCCTCTAATAGAAGCCGGGTCAATTGTTCAGTGCAAAAAATAGAAGCCAGGCCTCTAATAGACGCCGGGTCGATCAATTGATACAATGGGGGTATTAATGGGGGCATTAATAGAAGCCGGGCCTCCAATAGACGCCGGGCCTCTAATTGATGCCGGGTCAAAGGCTTGTCTGAAATAAATAGAAGCCTGAGCGTCTAATAGAGGAAATACGGTACCTTGCACAATATCCAACAGTCTGTTACGAAAGGCGAATTATCACGTTGTGGAACCACATGGCTTCATACCTTTTTAAGGCGTTTTGCAGGGCAATGATCACATTTATTAAGGCTAAACTTAAGAACCAAGTGTGCGCCAAACAGACTGATTTGGAAATTCTTACTTTATTTCATAATCAGAGCAGCTCCATTCATAAATACCCTTTAAACGATTTTGGTTCACACACAAGTGATATTAATTTTTCAATTACAGACTAATCTTTTGCTACATGATAACATCCCATATTATCAAAAATAAAGATTAGTGCAAAAACAGATCTCGGTTAACCATAACCCCCAAAATCAAGTCCTTCTCAAGGTATTGTATAAAAGTATAAGGCCTCTTCAATGCAGATTAAAATGTTAGGGCTTTCTCAGACCCAACTGCCAATTGAACACCTTTTTAAGTGTGTGTGCACCTAGAAGAATAGGATACAAGAGTATCTTTGTTATTTGTAGTATCCAGTCATGATGACATACCCTACCATATTTCCCCGAATAAAGACTGCATCTTTTATTTAAAAGTAAAACATATTTTGATTGATATTAAATAAACTGAAACTTCAAACTGCAAATTGGAATTAACCTGATAAGATAGACATAAATAGATGCTATTACTCAATTATGTACTTATTCTTAAGGAATCACAAGCCCTGAATAAACAAGCCTGAGGGGGGGGGGGGGGGGGGGGGGTTGAAAAGAGTCAGCACATGGGGGCAATTATTAGTGGAAATAAGGTACTTGTACTTTCATGTCCAGATTTGTACCTACATTATTAGGTGATGATGATCACTATATACATGATGGCACATGATTAATGATTCTTACATTCACTCTGGGATGTTGCAGGGTCAACTTTCATTCATAACCTGGTAGAAATATAAGAGTATTGTCAATCTCAAAGAGCTCTCCCTCCATTGGAGCTACAGTTGTGATACCCATTGCATTGGTAGGTCAAGTCATTGGGAAAACTAACACTGCGTCAACATTCACAATGTGTCAATGTTGGCCACTTTGGCCACAACAAATTACTTTCTGAGTGAGTGAGTGAGTTTAATTTTACACCGCTTTTAGCAATATTACAGCAATATCACGGCGGGGGACACCAGAAATGGACTTAACACATTGTACCCATGTCGGGAATCGAACCAGCGTGACGAGCGAACGCCATAACCACTAGGCTACCGACCTCCCCTCTTATTCTTTGAAATCTTTATTTTTTTCTGAAATGTTTCATTTCATCCTGAAACAGGTAAATATACATCTGAAGGTATTTACCTATCTTGCCAATGGTCGTATAAAAATCTCTCTGCTTAGGTACAGAAGACATAAAAACTATCCAAACCTAAAACAATAGTAACTCATCCATTTCATTGTTTTATAAACAGCAAAAACAAGTCAAATTTTGTACAAGAATTCCAAAAAACTAACAAAAGTTTTTGTGGCCTTATCAGAAGGGCTGATCTCTGATCTGCAGTTAATATAGATGTACTCACATTAAGTGTCAATATGACTTGATACTAGTTCAGTACAACAGCATGTATTGCAATGATGTTGTGTACCCGTACATATATGGACAGACCACTCAACATTACTGAGTATCTGTAGAAAGTTGCATTGTAAAAGCTTCAGTCAGACTTAATAAGTCGACATAATAAGCGCCCATGGCGCTCTCAAAATTAGAAATACGGGCTCTTATTAGAATATAATTTTGGTGAAAGAGTCAAAAAATTGTAAATTTTATGGTTTCTGCTGACAGCCGGAAATGATACAAAAGAAAAGTCTGTGCGTATTATACACGACAGATATATTTTTCCAGAATTTAATTGCCCGTAATTAAGGGTGCATATAACACACGAGTGCGTATTATACACGAATAAATGTACACAAATTGTGTACATTGATCAGTCGGAAGGGTGCTATTTGGGATTGTTCACTAGCCAATATATTGGCAAATATTGCCGTGGGCGCTTATTAGAGCGGGGCGCTTATTACGTCGAATATGGTATTTGTTATTATTTCAGTGAATCACTCGAATATTTTTTGTTTGGGGAAGCAGCTGTGAGTTCAGTTCATCTTTACATTATATTCTATCTTGCAATATATCAATGTTTATACTAGTATACTTATGTTGTACTGTAATATATTGCAATACAAAACATTTGTAATGGGTTTCCACTTATCTTCAGCAGAAATGCTTGATTAGATTCACTGTCTTAAGGTAGAATTTATGTGAAAATGTCATTTGCTGATATTATATGTATCCAGTGAATCAGGAACCGATGCAAACATCTTGATGATGTTACACACAAAACCTCACACAGAAAAATCACAATGTCGAAAGAGAATTGAAAACTGATTTGGAATTTCCAGACCTGGTCCTTCATAATACAAATCTAATTAAATCTACTGGTAATTTAATCTAAGACTTGCACAGCGATGATCATCAGTAGTTATCTTCACACACTACCACATTTCCCCAACAGTCTGTGATCAGCCCTCCAAATGCACACTCCAAATACTACTTTCCATACAACTGTTTTTATGTTATTATGTGAAATAAGTTGCTGACATTGGCACATTGTGACATATTCCAGTGTTAAGTACTCCTGTATATCTATATCTGTCTGTGTTAAGTCTTTGGCAAGTGAGATGAGGTGAGGCAATTTAACCTGATTATGTCATTCAATGACATTCATTTCACGAAATACAGGGACTTTTGTACGAGGCAAATTGTTCACATCATATTACATTCTAATACTTGTAAACAATTCAACATTTTTTCAAAACATTAATTGTGTTAATGTTCTAGTTTTGTCCAACTAATGCTTATTTTACCTTAATACCGAATTTCAATTCCATGAAAACACTAAATCCTCCTATATTGAACAGAACAATGGCACAAAAATGGCATCATCAGGTTGTACATAAATATCTAATGAACAGCAGCACCAGTGGCAATAATGGCAAATGTTTATCCTGCTTTGTTGCTATGGAAACATCCCTAAAGACATTTGAAATTGAAAATATTATAAATCATCCTCTGAAACCTTCTGATGTTATTACATAACAAATGAAGAGGACGTTTCCATAACAACAGTTGTATTTATAGCAGCATAAATGACAAGATCAGTGACAGGACAAAGCTCCAGCCAATGAGAGCCCTGCTTCCAGAGCATGTTGGAAGCGATGACTCTCTTGCTGTAGTTCCCGCTGGACGACAGGCTACTGCTGCATGTGTGGGATTTTTGGTTTCTCTGCTGGGTACTGTAGTAGTGGAGTCTGTGAAAACAAGAAAACATTCAATATAATGAAAACTCTAAAATATTCTAAAGTCGTACAATACAACTTTTTACTCCCCCTTTGGCATTAAGAAGAAAATTTTGTTTGTTTACTTCCTTGTTGTTTAACGCCCTACTCAGCAATATTCCAGCTATATGACGGCTGTCTGTACATAATCTAGTCCGAACCAGACAATCCACGAGCAGTGATATGCACAATGGGATACCATGACATACATCAACCAAGTTAGCGAGCCTGGACACTCGATCATGCTAGTTGCCTCTTACGACAAGGGTGGGTTGCTGAAGACAAGTTCTAGCCCAGATCTTTACTGGTTTAAAGGGCAAGTAAAGTCAGATTTTAATACTTCAGGAAAAAGAACAAATCACACAATAAAAAAACCAAAATCGTCCCCCAATCGAAAACCTCCAAGACTGGGAATCTCCCTACTGGAGATTAAAACGGGTTCCCAATGTTGGACGCTCTGTGCAATTTCAAGGCTCATGATGATCGGTCCGACGAACAGTCTGGCTGCTTCTACCTCGGATTTTTGTGATACACAAATGTCTTTTTTCTGTCTGCTCATGCATTCGATTAGCTTTCCACAACTTATGTCACCCTCGTAACAACACTTAAGATGCCTTCAGCTGTTTACTCAGGGGATTAATCCCTGACAGGCATGTATTGCGTAGAATAGGGAAGAAGGCAGCTGGTGTTTTATTACCCAACAGGATGTTAGTAATAAAACTCTTATTACCGATCTTTAATTATCTTACTTATTCACAATGTCAAGATCGAGGGTTGTTTCATTTCAAACATTCAACAATGTAGGCAATTTTGTTATTTTTGTAGGATTAACAGAAATAGTAGAACAGTATGTATGTATAACGGCTAAGAATCACAAGATAGATAAACGCGGCAAACAGCCAATGAAACCAGTTGTCACCGCTGAACGGGAAGCTTTAGGCCACGCACCGAACATGTGATTTCAGCGCTTTCACTTGGACATTGAAATACTCTCTACGAATATTATAAATGTCCGAGACCTGCATCACTTCGGGCTTTCCTCACACATTATGCTGACATGCCGCGATATAACTGGAATACTGTAAAAAGCGGCGTTAAACTCAACTCACTCACTCACTCTACAAATGGTATGAATTTTTGCCTCCCAGACATTGACTAAATGTATCATGGAAAATTCATTTGTTTCACTTAACTTGCCCTTCAAGAGCCAAATAACTGGGTGGTTACAATGTGTGATCTGACTGACTTTGAGTGAGTGAGTGAGTTTGGTTTAACGCCGCTTTTAACAGTATTCCAGTTATATTGCGGGGTGTCAGCTTAATGTGGGAGGAAAGCCTGAAGTGATGCAGGTCTTAGACGTTTACCTCTTCGGTGAAACCCACGAGCATGGGTATGGTGCTGACAAACCTAGAAATATAATCGGGGCAAACCGGGATTCGAACCCACAATCATAGGTTTCTGGTGTGCCCAAGCGACGCAACTCTGCACAGCGAATCGCGGCACTTTAGACGACTGGGCCACCAGTGCCCCCTGACTGACTTTGATGTCCAACTGACCTGTGTGTGTCGATTGTGTTGATGTGTGCATGCAGTATTGGTCTTTGCGTAGTGTAGTGAAGTGCTGGACAGATTTATCCCCCTCCTTGCTGCTGCTGCGGGCGCTGATCTGAACACTGTAGTGTCTCTCCTCATTCAGGCCAGTCAATATCAACTCTGTTATATTCTGAAACACACAACATTAGAACTACTTAGCAATGAAATTAAGACCTTTCAGAAAGTCATATCAGCCTCTTTCTCAACTAAGGATGGTGGGTGAGTGTTTGGTACTCATACTGAAGACCATGGTCTAGAATCCCCTCAGGGGTACAAGGTGTCAAGCCTCCTCTTTGTGTTCCCAGCCATAAAAATGCTGTAAATCTTATTGCAGGGTAAAACCATTCTCACTCACTCACTCTCTATTTTTTGTTGGTTTGTTGATTAACGCCGTACTCAGCAATATTACAGCTATATAACAGCGGTCTGTAAATAATCGAGTCTGGACCAGACAATCCAGTGATTGACATCATGAACATCCAAACACGCAATTGGGATACGATGATATGCATCAACCAAGTCAGTGAGCCTGACCACCCGATCCCGTTAGTCGCCTCTTACGACAAGCATAGTTGCCTTTTACGGCAAGCATGGACTCTCTCTAGACCTGAAGAAAACATATAAGGGTTTCTTTGATTCACTATGAACAGATTCAGGGATTCAACATAACACATGATCAGGAAACCAAGACAAAACAAATATGACGCTTTTGGCAGTATACCAGCAATTTAACGACAGGGGGACACCAGAATCATGGGCTTCACACACTGTACCAACATATGGAATCAACCCAGACCTTTGGCATGACATGCAAATGCGTCAACCATTGGGTTACTCCACAGCCCTTATTATTACATTGATAACATTGATTGATTATGACCTTAAAACAAAATTTCACAAAACCATGCATACTCAAACTAGTTGAATCTTAAAACATTTGTTAACATAATTTTTTTAATCATTTTCCATTGAAGTACCTTTTCAAGTTTGAACTATTGTTAATGCCACTGATGATTAAACAGCCTCCTTCAACAGGGGTTTATCTAGACTTGCTCAAAGGCCAATATTTGGCCACAAGTCTGGAGCAAATGTCAGTCAAATTTCCCAAATTGGATTACAATTTTCCCAGTTCTTCATAACATGTATTGTTATATGATAAGAGGTAACTTGTGGATCACTGACAATAGGACTTAGTTTTACATTATCGCACATGGGGCAATGTTAAATTATCTCGGAAATTAAGAAAGTATATTTTTTTCAATGCAATATTTTAACAAAATAGTGATTTTTCCCCCAATTTGCTTGCCTAGAATCCTAGATAAATCCCTGTTCAAGCAGTTGGAAGACACACATTGAGTTGAAAATGCAATTTTGTAACAAAATAATGATTTTTTCCCCCAATTTGCTTGCCTAGAATCCTAGATAAATCCCTGTTCAAGCAGGTGGAAGACGCACAGAGAGTGTGAAGAGTTGACTATGTTTGCTGACATGAAGACATTAGCTTACCCCTGAGATGATTCTTTCCTCTGGATTTTTGCTATATACAACTTGTCGTGATGTCGGGGGAACAACCTGACTCTTCCCCCACAACACTGTGTACCCCGTGGTGACCCCACTCCACACCGGCTGCTGCCACACAATCGCAACATCTACGCTGCAGCGGTCAACAAGTGGATGGATCTTGATGTCTGGCGGCCGGCCAGGCAGTATGGTAACTGAAATACACAAACATCACACAATGTCTAGAAGATTGTTCATCCCAGGGCTCCAGAAATTAGGTACAGTAAACTACGGTTATAACGAACTAGAAGGGACCACAAATTTTAGTTCGTAATAACCATAGTTCGTTATAGGCATATATACAGCATTTATACAACAAATGGCCGGGACTAAAAAATAAGTTTGTTATATCGGTCAGTTCATTATAAGCATGTTCGTTATAAACGTAGTTTACTGTATTTAGTTCCGGGTACAACATTGGCACAGGTGGTGAAGTTCTCTAAGGACATCCAATTCACTGTCACGGAGTGTTATTGTAACTCACTTACTCCAGCTCCAGCGTTATTCGCAGGACTATTCCAGCCTGCATGTAAAATGCCAAAATCAAGATGAAAACGGTAGTCTACTTGCGGCTATAGAAATAATAATCTTGGTTCTCAGGCACCACCCACATCATCAGAAAGTCCGCTGCCTGTTTTGTTTTTATTTCCATTTAAATTTTTTTTTAAATCCTTATATATTCCAAGCCCAACAGTAGTCAAATACTGTATTCCCAGGTTGATTGTACACAACTTTTTATTTGGTTACGCAACTGTTTATTTGGTTACATACTAGTTTGAACAACCAAAAAAAAGAAGACAGCACACGCCTGCTCTATATTTTCAAATACCATTGCCTGAGATTTTATTTAGCCTTATCTCTAACAAAATTCCAGCCCCCCTACCCCCCCACCCTCAGTATTCAATGTTTTGTCCTTAGTCCTTAATATTTTGTCCTTAATTAGTACAACCGTATTCACTGCACCGAGTGTTTAGAAAACTTATAAAGTTTAATTTGCCGGAGATTCTGCAATAGAGGACAAACTTGGCTCAAATATCGATGAAACCCAACATTTCTGTAATATAGTTACATGTGGTTTCTGTAAAACCTCTGCAATATAAACACGAAAATATGGACTGTTATGTAAATAAACGAGCTCAGTGCGGGGTGCTTAAAAAGATTACTTACAGATTGATGTAGACATTTATCAGGGGTGTTTATTGGAAAGAAGTGCTCAGTACAGTGATACTGTACCCCCAACATTGTGGGACCGCCTCTGTGGTCTAGTGGTAGAGCGTCTGGCGGAATGTCCCGGGTTTGATCCCGGCCGCGTCATACCAAAAGACGTTAAAAGATGGTACTTGTTGTTACCCTGTCTGGCGCTCGGCATTAAGTGGCTAAAACCAGGACTGGTCAGCTCGGAGTCAGTATACTGTGTCTGAGTGGGGTATTCATGTTAAACTGCGTCATGGTATCTCAGTGTGCTAGCACTATAAATCGGCATCAGTCCGATTGTACAAGCAGCGACACACCCACACACGTCGCTATATAAGTGCAATAATCTTGGGCGCGAAGTAACACCCAATTTCACCTCACCTCACCCAACATTGTGATACTCTAGCATAAGCGCCCTTATCTGAGATGCTACAACACTGTGTGATTAGCCTGTACCTTTCCTGGGGCACTCCGGCCTGATCTTGCCCCTGACTTTGATATCTACACAGTGAGGGGTAGAGAAGCTGGCAACTGATGCAGCCAGCTCCTCCCCGAAAGCGTTGATGGGCCTGACTTGGACGGTGTAGTTGCAGCTGTAGTGAAGGTTGTACAGGTTGAACTCCTGATCCTGGAAACACACAGCATGACTGTACTGGGGTATGTTTCACCAGATTGGAAAATGGCCGCGACATAATGAATCTAATGTAGCTCTACATCTGAAATTAAGTAATACAGTCTAGGCTTCGTCCGTACCAAATTTCATGCTTTTATCACTAACAGCCAAATTTTGATATAATATATTGAACACATCCATTGGATTATTTATATTAGCATCTTTAAGTATTTTAGTTGATAGGTAAACAGCTCCATGTACCTCAAATATATTTTTTAGATTGTTATTTTCATGTAAATTTGCAATATGTTTCCTACTGTCCCCAAATATCAGTGAATGAAACATTATTATATGTTGGATCACAAATCAACCGACCATTTCTCTTCTTCTTATTATTATTACTTAATTATTTTAGCCAACACATCACAAATGGAATAAGAGACCCTGTGATGGTAAATACTTGTAATGAATATGCCAACCAGTTATAAAGAGGAAACTCGAAAAATAAATTTTTCAAAAGTCTCAAACCATCAAAAGGCACGTATCTGTATGCCAAGTTTGGTGATGAAACATTGTATGGCTTTCAAGATCTACTCCGGAAATGGGCACTACCCATCAAGTCAAAGTCGTTGCCATGGAAACTCCAAAACAAAATTCCAAAAAATCCCAAATTATCAAAAGGCACCAGTTTACCACTGGACCTTTCTATGTGCTAAGTTTGGTGACAAAATCTTAATTTCCATAGAAAAGCCAACATTTTGCATGTGCATACAGTTCACAAATCAAAGGTACAGGAAAGTCTGGTACCTTTTCCCCAAATTTGGTGGATCGATGCTCATGATATTAATCACTGAATTGTCTGGTCCAGACTCGATTATTTACAGACTGCCGTCATATAGCTGGAATATTGCTGAGTGTGGCATAAAACAACAAACAAACCAACCCCTCTCCACAGACTTCTGACTTAGGCTGAAAAAAATCTGTGATCCAACAAATGAAAAACCTAATGTCCATGTCAGACATCAAGTACCAGGTACATACATGTGTGGTAGCACTCAGCTCGGCAGGGCGGAACTTCCTCCTGTCACCAACATGGTCACAGCTCACGGCCCGCCAAAACACTATGTACTTCTCCAGTCTCTCCTCTGAAAACCAAATACTCATTTACAGACAAGGAAATGTGAGCCCTATACTACGCTGCGTTTTAAGCATACAGTGTGAATATCACCAAGTCATACCAATGGACTTATCATTCTATTCTATACGATAGCGACGGGATAAATCGCAAAGAACAACAAAGAACACAGCATGGTTTATTTCAGGAAAAAACATTGTTCTATCATGATGTTATTTCTGGACATTCGAACATGCCCTTGCAACTTGATCACATTGTATATTGGACGTTATTTTTGAGAGGGGTGTGGCTAGTGAGTTATATTAAACAATTCATCTGGTGAGTTGTTTGCCATAGATGTGACTGGGCAATTTGAAACTGGGCAACGCAGATAAACGCGATAGCCCGAATGATCGCATCCAAAAGCGGGAGAGATGTGACCTTTGGTTTTTGGAAAAAACATACAGGTAATCGATGTGAGCATTGTGACAATATGCAGGAAATAGCCAACTTAACCCCCTGTTCATAAAATGGACTTGTCCGACACTACCGAGGTTATTCTGTTCAGGGAGTCATCATTATTTAAATACGGGTAAATATTTTTAAAGCTTGTACATCTTATCAACATCCTTAAAGAGGCTGTACATAATGTTGATATCTCATGTAAGAAATATTCGCCTCATGGTCGTTGTTTATCGTACAAGAAAAAACTGCAGGGGAATAAACAACTCGAGGATGCATCCCTCATGGTTTATTCTCCCTGCAGTGTTTTATTATACGATAAACAATTCCCACTCATGCTTTATTTCTTAATTATTAATGCCAACACCATTCCTCTCATTGTAGTGGACCGCCTCCGTGGTCTTGTGGTAGAGCGTCCGCCCGGAGAGCGGAAGGTCCGGGGTTCGATCCCCGGCCGCGTCATACCAAAAGACGTTAAAAGATGGTACTTGTTGTAACCCTGTCTGGCGCTCGGCATTAAGGGGCTAAAACAAGGACTGGTCGGCTCGGAGTCAGTATACTGTGTCTGAGTGGGGTATTCATGTTCAACTGCGGCATGCTATCTCAGTGAGCTAGCACTATAAATCGGCATCAGTCCGGACTAGTACAAGCAGCCACACAAACACACACACGTACATGCACGTCGCTATAAGTGCAATAATCTTGGACGCGACGTTAAACCCAATTTCACCTCACCTCATTGTAGTGAGTGTTATTCTTTAGTGTGTAAGAAGCAATACTTTTTTTTATCTTTTGGCTTCTTGACCAACCCTAATATTTTTTTTGTTTTAATTCAACACTGTTTCTCTTGATATACTGACTGGAAATTATTTTCTTGATTGTGAATGTCAGTGCTGTATTTATTTTGAACTAATGTATACCATGTAGAGTTTTTTTATACAAAATTTTGGTTAATTAGGATAACCATATTTTTTCCATCAAAGATGTTAGATATTTGAGTTCTGATAGAGGGTTTGAAAGATGCTTCTCCTGATGATTGGTAAAGGTCAGCCCTGACTGAGATGCTCTGTGTGAAGATGAAGCTTCAGACCCACCTGTGACAGTCCTCCACTCGATCCTGGTCTTCAGGACACCGCTGTAGTAGAAACTCTGGTCCACTGTGATGTTGTATACAACAGAGTTGTCAGATATCCACGGCTTCTGTGTCACATGGTCTGCCAGAAGAGAACATTGCTTATCAATTATGATATAACACACGCATCAATTTATTGTTACTACATAATAACTTGCATTATGTGAAGCCCATCTCTGGTGCCCCCGCTGTTATATTGCTGGAATATAGCTAAAAGTGGCGTAAAACCATACTCACACACTCACTCACTCAACTTGTTGGACAACAGACCAAAGGTCATATTAAGTCAACATTGCAAAGGGAACAAAACCTTCTCTAACTGAAGTAAATACTTGTACATGTTACTGTAAAAATATAAACATCTTGCACTTTAAACAGAATTAACATTTCTTTTCCCCCACGAAACCAACCTCCCCACACAACCTAATGATACATGAAAACAAACAGTAAGAGTAATGTTACTTCATTTCGACCTAACAAAGCAAAGTTACGAAATCTACTGACCACAACATGCTTGTGTTGGGGGAGAGTATGTGACAATGTACATGGAGGCCATTCTTCCCTTCTGTATCCTGTTGCGCCAGCGCACAGTGGCGTATACCTGCAACAGAGTGTAGATTGACAGAAAACAATGGGATGATGCGTCTTAAGGGTTCTCATGAAGCACCGTATCATGAGGTGAGGTGAGGTGAAATGGGGTTTAATGTCGCGTCCAAGATTATTGCACTTATATAGCCTTCTCAATCTCCAGGGGGGCACAGGTGACCCAGTCGTCTAAAGCGCTGCGATTCGCTGTGCAGAGTTGCGTCCCTTGGGCACGCCAGAAACCTATGATTATGGGTTCGAATCCCGGTTCGCCCCGATTTATTTCTAGGTTTGTCAGCACCATACCCGTGCTCGTGGGTTTCACTGAAGTGGTAAACGTCTGAGACCTGCATCATTTCGGGCTTTCCTCCCACATTAAGCTGTCAGGCGGTGATATAACTGGAATACTGTTAAAAGCGGCGTTAAACCCAACTCACTCACTCACTCTCAATCTCCACTTACGTCTATTTTCAATTGCCATTTTTCTTTGAATAAAAACTTAAGTTACCACGCAGGCTAACTTTGAGAAGTTTGCATTTTGCAGAGTTTCTCAAATTTGAGTAAGAACTCAGACTTAAGTCAGCTTCTGAACTTAAGTTTGTTTCGAGAAATTGGGGCCAGGTTACAGGTAGGAATTGTGAATCAAATCAGCATGAATCAGCCAAATCAAGTACATACCTATTGCTAATCACCCATGAGCGCCAATCATCTGTTGGCTTCCCTTGTTAGTTTCTACCCTTTGTTATTTCCACCTCTTTTTATCTTTTTAATTTTGTTGTCCTTACATGTACATATATACGCTCTCTGCCTCATGGCATTCATTCACCTGATGAAGGAGTAAGCATATATAATATCCATATATTCTCTTCCTTATGTGTATCACTTCTAAATGCCTTTCAAAGTCGTCAGCACCATACCCGTGCTCGTGGGTTTCACCGAAGTGGTAAACGTCTGAGACCTGCATCACTTCAGGCTTTCCTCCCACATTAAGCTGACACGCCTGATATAACTGGAATACAGTTAAAAGCGGCGTTAAACCCAACTCACTCACTCACCTTTCAAAGACAAGTACCTACCTGTACAAAGTATCTACTTCCTGGTTGGAGGTTTCTCAGCACAAACTTGTGTTTATTCTGCAAGAACATCATTGCACAGTCAGGGTTAACTGATGAAACGTTGAAATCTTCAGTAAAAAAAATACACATTATCTGTCCTAAACGAAATGGATGAAGAAAAGAATTAAAAAAATTCCACCAAAGTTACCTGTATTGCTAAACTCATATCAGGTGACATATCATTAAATGTAAACCTTCCACTCCTAAACAAATGTACAATATATGCATGCATTTTGTGAGTTCACATAATTATTGTCTGTTCCCAGTTTCGGGCATCTATTCCAAACAATGTCTCAAGGTAGGACAGTTGTACATAAGCATGATAGTATACTGAATTCAGAATGACAAACATTTCCACACTGTATTGCCATGACAACATAGGATGTCGGTTCTGTCTACTACTGTCAACAGCTTCATAGTTGCTAATTTCAATGGATGCTTGCTAATTTTACTTGCTACATGACCCATGAAGTTCCGGGGTAGAATAGGTTTTCAGCAACCCATGCTTGCTGTGAAAGGCGACTATGCTTGTCGTAAGAGGCGACTAAAGGGATCAGGTGGTCAGGCTCGCTGACTTGGTTAATGCATGTCATCGATCCCAATTACGTGGATCGATGCTCATGTCAATCACTGGATTGTCTGGTCCAGATTCGATTATTTACAGACCGCCATCATATAGCTGGAATAATGCTGAGTGCGGCGTTAAACAACAAACCAACCAACAACAAACTTGCTAAATATTGCACGAGGTCAAATCAGTCCAACTTACCGATTGTAACTTGTATTTTAACATATTAACTCTTTGATAATTAGCACTGGATTGGGGCAGTCCTTCACTACGCATCACCTGAGGGAAGAAAGAAATGGTGAATCAGCCCTTACCAATACATTTCTGAAACTTTAATTTTTGCAACATTAAAAAAATATATAGCTGTGTTTCCTTGCAAATGTTGTGAATATATTTTTGAGACTTTAGATGCAACCTCAAAGAACCCTGATAAATGTTTACTACTTTTTGCCTGCTGCCTGTTAGCATATTGAACAAGTCAACTCCTGAAACATGACATTTTGGGCCCTGTGGCCAAATGACTTCAAGGCATTGTTGAAAGGTTTGTACCTTGTGACTTCCAGCAGGGTGAGCTAGCTGTACAGCGGTGAGGTCAACTTACAATATATCTGTCGACAGGAAGTCCATCCAGCTGACGGGGTGGCTGCCACATTATCTCGACATCTACCTTTCCATCGTGCACAGTGGAAGATCCTTCCTCAAAATTGGCTGGAGGGGAAGGCTTCATAAATTCTGTTAAATAATATTTGGCACATTAATTACACTAATCATTTCGCATGATGTAAAAATTCTTTTAGAATTTATTATCTTGTTATCTTACCTTCAGTATAAAAGAAACGTGACTATACATTGTGAAGAGAAACATTAAATGAAAGGGAGGTAACTCAGATAAGACTAACACAGATTGGTTTCAGCTCAATGGTGTTTCAAACAAGGCATACCATAGTTCAAATCAAACATATTTTAAAAATAAATAAATTTGACATTTAATATTTTAATATGTGACAGTAGACTATGACAGTCCATATTGTCACAACTTGAACATTTTCTAAATTCTGCACACAGACGCACAGGAGAAAACTCATAGCTTGTAATGTAGATGCAGGCCACATATGAATGGTGGTTACATTCTTGTCTTACCTTTGGTATGTTTGGAAACTGAAGTGAACCCCTTGGAGCCATGTATGTTGACTGCTGCTACTATGACATTCAGTGTACTGGCAGGGACGATCCCACGCAGCTTCAGGAACCTCCTGTCAGTCTGGATAAAAAGGGGATGAGTGAGTGAGTGAGGTTTTAGTTTTTAGCGTTAATCCATATCCCAGCAAAACAAGTTTGAAACACAAACAACAAAAGGACTCAACACATTGTGGGGAATTGAACTTGAATGTTTTAACCTCAAGGTTATGTGAATGCCAAACAAAGCATCTCATTTGTGTTTCTCACATCAATCATAAGATTGCAAGACCACTTTGGTGGAACAGAACACACATGGTACAGAAGCTATCTGCTCGGCATTGTACCCATGTCGGGAATCGAACCCGGGTCTTCGGCGTGACGAGCGAACGCTTTAACCACTAGGCTACCCGACTGCCCCTGCTCGGCATCGACCACAGAGACATGCTATAGAAGCTCAACATCCCTGACCACAGAGACATGCTATAGAAGCTCAACATCCCTGACCAAAGAGACAGGCTATAGAAGCTCAACATCCCTGACATCGTGCAGACTGGACTCACCACTTTGAAGTTGACTCCTTTGCCTGACAGAGTCCGCCACCGAACCACATAGACAAAGGGGCGAGCAGCATGTCGCATCCATTTGCCTCCGGGCAGATCCCAGCTGATCACAACTCCACCATCTTTCCGGGTTTCAAATGTGATGTTGCCTGGCTTCTTGGGCAAACCTGCAATATGTATTCACATAGTCACAACCTTGTTTTTAAGAATTGACCTTCACTTTGTGTGAGTTCATTGGAGTATGAACCTTCATAGAGTGAGGGCCAAACTGTATGAACGTTGGAGTTCTGACTTTTCTCAATGCATACTGAAACGATGAGACCAAGATTATGTATGTTTTCATGCTTGGGAATTCCCAGGGGTTTCCCCAGGAATGTGGCGGTAGTCCATCAGTCTTTACGTCATTTCAATAACACATTCTCATGAAAAATGTATGAACGTCAAATTGTGTGGTTCATACACTTATGAACGTCAATTTCGCAGTCATGTGACCGACCTCTCGTCCAATGGAAAAGCCGTAAACTTCAAATTAAAAAATTATAAAGGCATGCTTTCTGACCAGGACTAAGAATGTTGTGATGTCAATTAAGACTATATATGAGTACTTCCTTTGACCTGAACAAAACATGCTTGTCAAATAATTTGTACTGTTTACACCAGACTATGCTTCCTCGATTTCTGAAACACCTAATCATTGCATACTACTTCAGTAACAATAAATCGATGATGCCCTGAAACCTATCTAATTAATGAAAGAGGTACCAAACCTCGGCCTCGAAAATTGTATCAGACAGGAATAACAACCAACCCTCTGCAAGATGAGCGGAGGGATGAACCACTGAGATATCCTTATCCTTGGAACTATATTGTGGGGCGGATCCAGGATTAAAAAAAAGGGGAGCTTCCACAGGGTTTGGGGGAGGAGAAGACTAACATCTAGTCTGTGAAATCAAGTTATAGTTATGAATTATAATAAAAAGGAGCCCAGAGACTTTCTTCATTTTCAGATACTGCAGTAATCTAGACTTGCCAAACATTATAGACTTGCATGTGCTGTATTGGATATATTTGTTTCTGTATGACAGACTAGGGGAGGAGGAGTCCACCCGAAAAATCACAAGACATGTCAACCATTATTAATTTTAGTTAAACAACCAAGTCAATATGTTATCATGGTCGGTAACATTTTTGGGTGGTGGTGAGTGAGATTATTTTTTTTACGTTTAAAAAAGGGTGTGTGGCTTATAATGCCCAGACCACCACCACCTCCTCCCGGATCCGCAACTGATATTCCATGCATTGCTTCACCCTAGGCCACCATCTTTCAGCGGCAAACAGCACGATAACACTGACCTCGATCATTTCTGGGTCCCTGACAGGTGAAGCCGCATCCATTGTCACAGCACTTGTTGCTGCCAGCACAGTCGGCGTCGTGGGTGCACTCCGGCACACATGCTGCCTTGAAGCCCGACATGGTCTTCTTGCTGGGGCAGGTCCCCACCTTCGACTGGGCTGCCCTGGCCAGGAACCTACAGCTCCTCCTGCAGCTGGCATAGTTGGGGTACTTCTCCTGAAACACCACATTCCGGCTCTTACGAAAATCATTTATCCAGAGTTTTACAGTTTATTAAATAAAATGGCATGCTTATATTTCAGAACATCAAGTGAACGAGTGCTTTGTCCGAAAATTACAAGAGCATGGTTCAACCAAAACCTTTGTTGTGTGACTGTCAACTCACATTTTATGATACTCATTAATATATCATTTATGCTATATTACATAGAGACATTATGTTTAAGTTTACCTCCAGTCACTATTGAGAATATCTAGTTTTGACTTGAAATATGTCCCAGATCATGAAGGTGAGATGAGGTGAAATGGGGTTTAAGGTCGCGTACAAGATTATTGCACTTATAAAGCAACATGCAGGTGTGTGTGCCTGCTTGTACTTGTCTGGGCTGATGCCGATTTTATACTGCTAGCCCACTGAGATACCATGCCGCAGTTTAACATGAATACCCCACTCAGACATAGTATATTGACTCCGGGCCTACCAGTCCTTGTATTAGCCCTTTAATGCCGAGCGCCAGATAGGGTAACAACAAGTGCCATCTTTTAACGTCTTTTGGTATGACGCGGCCGGGGATCGAACCCTGGACCTTCCGCTCTACCTCTAGAACACAGAGGCGGTCAGATCATGAAGGATAGCCCCCCTTTAAAGCTGGTAGACACAAATTCCATTACTGTAGTGAAAACTAGTGATCTAACTTGAGTGTGATACCTCTATTTGTAGTAGACAGAAACATATTGAACTTATCCATATTTAGGTGACGATAATATTACATTGTTCCTATTTTTTCAGGGCAGCTTTAAGAGATTACGTAATTTCAAAACACATGTTTCATCACATAACATCCAAACTTCTTAAAATTGTGTATCAATAGAAAAACTTCTACCAAAGTGAAGGAGAAAAAACAGTCAAAATAAATCAAAACGGCATAAAGGCCAAATGTGAACAGAGCTTGTAAATCATGGAAAAGAGGAATGCTACAAAATTTGCAAGGTTGCACAATATAGAGCTGGTTGTGGTTTTGAGAATAACTCAACATGCAATCTGCAGAAAAGGAACAAATGATGTGTCTGTTCCACCCTCTACTTAATTGCTATGATGACTTATACCCATCATTCACTGACCAGTGGAAAGTTCAACATAAACAAGAGCACAAGTTTGAAAATGAAACTCTAAAGAAGGAAAGCTGTGGGTGGAATACTTACTCCAATACTTACATCACAGTCATGTCTACAGCTCTCATTGGAGGTGTAATTGTTGCCAGGTGATCGATCACATACAAACAGACACTGAAACATAAACAACAACACTACATAAGACACCAGTTACAACAACAATGTTGCCTTCTGCATCATGAGTGAGTGAGTGAGTTTGGTTTTACGCCGCTTTTAGCAATATTCCAGCAATATCACGGCGGGGGACACCAGAAATGGGCTTCACACATTGTACCTATGTCGGGAATCAAAACCGGGTCTTCGGCGTGACGAGCGAATGCTTTAACCACTAGGCTACCCGACCGCCCCTCTGAAGTTCCTACCAACATAACAACATAGAAATAAGGAGAAAGCAGGCTGAAACTTTCAATAAATGATGAAAACTATATTTGCTAAATTCAAACACTGCACTAAATGCAATTTCATTTTCAATATAATTTGCTCAAATTGCTTTAAGATTACCAAATAATGATGCTGTAGTTTTTTCTAAGATTATAAAAAAACATACAGCTAAAGGAGATGGAATGAAGACAAATTACATATAGGTACACGCAGTCCCATCTTCTTGAGGCAAGGGAGTTAACGGACTGTAAAAGTCCAGTTTCCACCCTTGCCGAACTAGGCTGGCATTATGGAGTTACATTTTGGCTGGGCTAACGAGTCTTTACATATTTCAATCAAAATCGAGCAACGAGATAGACATCTGGTTAAAAAACAACATTGATTTCAAGGTGCAGATTTCGATTGACTGCAGGATTTGCAAAGCATGTGTATCGTTAACAGGGCGTTAACAGATATTTTACAAATCTTTTCATGTTCTTAATCAAGGTGCTCAAATCATTTGATGCACTTCGCAAGGTAAGACCCAATTATTACAACATAGATCTTGATTATCGATGATGGAGACTCCGTATGTGGATACCAGATCCTAGTCATGTTTCAACACATTAGACTACCCGGTACATGCACTATTTCCCTTGCCATGGGCAGAGATACACCAAGGTCCACTGTGTACAAATAAACCCTTGGTCCTTCTCTCCATGACTACAGAAATCTGGGGGTATACAGTTTTCACCAATATGAATCACTGTCATTAAAATTCCACAAATAGAAAAGACATGTGGTGTGCCATGAGTGATTCAATTTATCATTCCTACAAGGGTAGACACTATGAGCTAGTCAACTGCTCCTTTGAGACTACAGTGATCCCTCACTACAACGCTACCTTTGGGGTCAAAATTATTGATGAGCGTTATAGATGATCAGCGGTTTAATGAAGGTCGAGTCGTAGGTGGTACATGAACAACAAAACAGTACATGCTCTGCCTACCTAACATGATCTACGTTGCACGTTTCAGAGTTTAAAAAAAAGGATTAAAATAGAAATGGTTTATGATTCATAGTGTAAAAAAAGATTTAACGAGTATTAATATGGTCTTTCAAAGAAACACATAGTATTCCTTCAGCAAATTCAGGTGAATAAACAGGTATAACAATCTTGGTCAATAAAAGTATGAAATTTGATATAAAACATCACTAGACATGATGATTTACCATTTAAAATGTATTTCCTGCTCTCCAAGGCATTGTTTTATATGCAGAGATTAAGATTAAGATGTAGTAATTAATGTATCTGTATTTGGGGAGAAAACTAGTTGGCTCACGACTAACCAACTAGTGATGGGGTCTAACCCTGTTTCTAGGGGGTCATCAATGTAAACACTACAGGATACCCACAATCCTGCATCCTTGGTGCATCTCTGAAAGGGAGGTATTCTATCACATGCACTTGAGTACATTTGCAAACATAAAAACTTCTCAGCAAGGGACTTCACGACATTTTTTCGGGCGGTGTTCTTGCTTGATAACAATGGTATTCCAAGTGATCATGTTTAATCTACAGATACAGCAAACTATAATGTTCTGACTGTTTGAAAAAAATCTTAATATTCAAGGACAACTGTTTTATCAAATACCTGTAGCATTGCACGTAAGATATGTCGCAATGGGTCCGAGAGACAGGCACTCAAATCATGGGGTTTGGGAATTTATTGAGCTCATATTATACTACTGACCAATATCTGTTAATGACAGTTTAAAACAATTATTGTAAATTTTACTTTCATATGGTCTTGAAATAAGCACAATTAGGCATAATATTACTCTCTTGTTTACTATATTAACTATGTTGCATTACAGGTCTGAATTATGTTTTTGAGTAATTCTGGAAATTTATTCTCAGTTTGAATTATTTTTATAATTGTATAAACCACATAGTTTTGATTTATTGTGAATGTAGTTGATTTCTCCTGTATTTTTTGTCCAAAATGGCAGGCACATACAAAGCTTTTTATGCTATTATATTGACAACCTTTCAAGATTAGTCAAAATAATTTATCTTAAAGTACTGAACAGTTCACGATTTAAAAAATCTTCAAATTCTTTCATGGGTCAATACTCTCCTAATGATCCCAAATATTGCTGGCTATCTGGATTGGTTGAGCTCAGTGACAGGTCAAAGCTGTACAGGAAAGACTTAACTGACACATCATTGGATTTAATACACGGTTTGTGAGAGTGATTAACATTACTTATATTTTTGAACCCCTGAAGAAAAGTTTAGACAAACTTACTACCAGAAAAGGGACCTAATAGCCATTACATTAATAGATATACATTAATTTGACCTCACATGCTACTATTTGCTCTTGAAGAACAATCTTGAACAATCTTGATCAGCCTCATATGCTAAGGTCTTTAGTACTCAATGCCCCTGGAGGGGCGGTCGGGTAGCCTAGTGGTTAAAGCGTTCACTCGTCACGCCGAAGACCCGGGTTAGATTCCCGACATGGGTACAATGTGTGAAGCCCATTTCTGGTGTCCCCCGCCGTGATATTGCTGGAATATTGCTAAAAGCGGCGTAAAACCATACTCACTCACTCAATGCCCCTGGACCAACTTGGCGTGTCAGGCCCTTGACCTCTACCCCCAGCAGGAGCTAAAGTACATCCTAAGTCATAAATATTTAGTATCTTTATTTACACCCACAATTTATTGTTATTTTGTCTGAGCTGTTCTTTGTTTTAGAAGAGAAAAACCTGACTCATCTACTAACGACCATCCATAAATCTATTCCAGCCTCTATCATGACTGGGGTGAATCATCTGAGAAAATAAGCATAAAACTCAAGGCCAAGATCCTGGCTCCTGTACAGTTTCAAATATAGGCCCATTGTAGAAAAACTTGGATGAAACAGGTACCCGGTATGCCATGATACACCCAACATACAATACTGACATAATATATATACACACACACACACACACACACACACACACACACACACACACACACACACACACACACACATACATAGATATATATATACATATTGTGATATTTGAGTCAAAATATGATACATATTGCAACACTGACACATGCTAACAAGAGGTCATTGCTATCAACAAGTTTGTTTAAGTCCAACAACTGGTAAATTTTTGCTTGTTCTTATTCAATTGTCCGATCAGATTTAGCATACATTTTCATGACAGGCGGAAAGCAAACATTAGTCTTAGCAATTATCAGGCCAGGTTATTGCAAAACATTACAGGTCACGTCAGAACGACCTTTCATCCAACCAATCAGGGCGTCGCTTACCAGATCATGAAAGTGACAGTCGGAATGTGTTTTTCTCATCATGCAACCATGGGGTATTCCGAACGACAGTAACGGGTTTTATGATTATATCCATACAATCTAGGCCATCTATAAGCCATTCCAGAATGTTCTTCTTATCAGGTTTAATTTTTTTAAATCAAGAACACGTCAAAATATGTTTCGAAGCATAGTCGCCAGATTGAAACTAGTGTCGCAAAGCTCGAGAAAGCTGCCTTCTGATTGGCTAATGTCGATTTCTTGTCAGTCATTTCATTGATCGGTCAAAATTTGCGAAAGGTCGTTGACGTGACCCATAATGGGATGTCCTCAGATCTTTGTTTAGCGGTAGCGAAAACTGAGATCTGATTTTAATTAGATTGTGAGTAGGCATGCCATGTATGATATCTTCAGGCATTAATTGGCGATGCAACGATACATCATTAATAAACACCAAGAAACTTAAGAATTAGTTTCTTGTAGGCTTACCAGGTATTGTGAATGCAATGCAAACAGGAATGTTATTGACTGACTGACGGTCCTCGTAAGTTTGATTCCATTCAAATGAACACCAGTTTCAGTGTTTGCATGCTATATAAAAGTTATGATGTATCACATTATGTACTAGGGCTGGGACGGGTAATTCGGGTACTCAGGGTGGGTGGATACTGAGTGGGACCCGGGTACCCAGAGGACTACCCAGACCCGTGGTAAGTCACGTGATATATTGTTTAATAACAAAAATTATCTAGAACTGTATGTTTAAACAACAATTAAGTCACTAAAGTTTGCAGTTCTTTCTTACTATGCACCCATTTCTTCTGACTTTTATATGTTTGAATAAAAATATTCAGTCAACTTCAGTGTATGCATGACCAGATCGTTTTAAACGTGTATCTAAATGAACCAGGATGCTGCTCTCAACAGAAATCATATTATCCTTTGTATGTATATGAATGTTCTTAACAGGAATTGTATTGTCCTTTGTACATATGTATGTACATTCTTAACAGGCATGGTATAGTAATTTCAGTGAATATGAAAGATACTGTTTTGTAAAGAAAACAAAATTATTACGAATATCAAGTTCTGGTTTAAACAATCTTTCATAATGCTTATTGGGGATATGCACAAACTATATAAGTATGTTGAATTAACTGTTTTGAAAGAAAACAAACTCCAGTTACTGATGTGAGGTACATGCTGCGCTAGACTGAATCACTTCCCAATTCAAAAATGGATGATACTGTTTTGTTTTGTCTTATTTCTTTCATTCCAAAAGCCTGGGGTCCTGGCAAGAGTTCTCCATTTTTGTCTTACTATGAACTCCATGCTTCTGTACTGAAGAGTAAGAAATAATGAAAATATGTTTTTTTTTGCTTTTGCACATTGATCATGTTTCTGCAGTCATTCCTTGCAGCCTGATTCCGTCAGGTACAAAACAGTGTTACACAAACCATTCTCTCCATAACTTGAATGCTGGCAAGGACATCTAGTATAGGACCACAGGCACCATCTAGCATCAAGAACCTTGTTAAGCACAGGGTCTACTGTCTCTATTGTTGATAGCATCACTTACTGTTTTGCAGTCTCTGATTTTCTGACATTTTCTTATCAAATTGAAAGATCCATCCTTTGCAGTGTCTGAAGACTGAAACAGAAATTAAAACACTTAAAAACGTCAATGTCAACACATTAAATAAAAAACCCTGTAAAGGTACATGTTCAGCAAGTCAAATTAGCAAAAGATGTCAAGGACTTTAAGAGCATGGATAGGTTTGAATTCATAAGAAAAAGCAAAAAATAGTGCAGTCTATGAAATGGTGAGATTGACCAAAAGTTATTGAAAAGATATTCAATTGTATGATTGCATAGCAATAATCCCAACATAGTAAAGATTTGGATGACTGGGTGTCAATGAAACAATATATGTGACCCACCAGGAGAAAAGGACCTTACTGATGCAAGGATACAATTGTGCTATGACGTCATAAGACATTTAACGTCAACTTTCTTCAGTGAAGATCATCGCCAAAATATATCTTATAATAAAAGCATTATTTCAAACCCTTTCAGCATACATGTCTACTTTCAATTCATCAGACGTACACTATGTCTAAATACTGCTAATATGACATCAACAGTTGTAAGTCGGAAAATGAGTCCAAGTGTTTGATGTAATGTATCTCTGTAATAAATATGAATTGACGCTTGTGAATTGTATTTTTGTGTTCCGAAGATGCTGCAATTTTAAAATATAATGAAAAGTCAAAATGTGAAGTTTCCCCCATAAGGTTCCTTATCTCATAGTTGGTCACATATATATACGTACACAGTAAATAACTACATAGAAAAAACATGAAAACTCAATTGACAACAAGACTGACCACAGATAATTAGAAGGAACTTATTTCTGATAATAAGAAGGAATCCATTTCAATTGGTGTTAAAATGACCATCAAAAACCATTGACACTGATATTGACAAAACCGTCACTTTTATTCCCAGTTCAGCAGTGTTAACTGACTTCAAGTCAATCAGCTTATATCTACACATATGTGGAGGGGCGGTCGGGTAGCCTAGTGGTTAAAGCGTTCGATCGTCACGCCAAAGACCCGGGTTCGATTCCCGACATGGGTACAATGTGTGAAGCCCATTTCTGGTGTCCCCCGCCGTGATATTGCTGGAATATTGATAAAAGCGGCGTAAAACCATACTCACTCACTCACATATGTGGAATGTACATTCAACACAAAAAAAAGATAAAAAGATGAAAGATAACCCATCCCCTAGCCATACTGCCTGTACCTTATAACTATTCAAATGGCTATGTTTGAAAAAGTAAACTAGATCATGTCAAGAACACACTTTGCAAAGAGCCTTCTGAAATCCCTAAATACACCACCAATCTGCCACAAGCATAACCTCAAGTGCTTGTAATCAAAAGTCTATGACACTGGTGCATTAGCAAAGAAAAAAATCTGTATGTTTGTAGTGCATAAAGACGAAGTATACACTGGTGTGTTGTCCTGATTGTATATTTGACAGAGCTGTGGCAAACAACGCCAGAAGTGTCACCAACAACCTCCTCTAGATACAAACAAGCCTCTCACCCTTACGTCTCCAGCCGAGTAACAGATGGGTGACACACACATGCAGTAATCACTGGACAGCTTCCTAAAGTTCTTGGACACTCTTTCTTCAAGTTGTTATGATATACAGGACACTATACAAAGTTTGTTCTAGAACTTCAAGAAGTATGTATCAAAACCCTAGTGATTTAGTTGTAGGAACGTTTACAAAGTTATTCTCAAAACTGAGTGAATGTTTCGTTATGTGTCAGGCAGCAGGGAAAATGGCCACTATTCGAGCCGATATATGGGCATTTTGTTCTAGAACTTCAAGAAGTATGTATGAAAACCCTAGTGATTTAGTTGTAGGAACGTTTACAAAGTTATTCTCAAAACTGAGTGAATGTTTCGTTATGTGTCAGGCAGCAGGGAAAATGGCCACTATTGGAGCCGATATATGGGCATTTTGTTCTAGAACTTCAAGAAGTATGTATGAAAGCCCTAGTGATTTAGTTGAAGGAACGTTTACAAAGTTATTCTCAAAACTGAGTGAATGTTTCGTTATGTGTCAGGCAGCAGGGAAAATGGCCACTATTGGAGCTGATATATGGGCATTTTGTTCTAGAACTTCAAGAAGTATGTATGAAAACCCTAGTGATTTAGTTGTAGGAACGTTTACAAAGTTATTCTCAAAACAGAGTGAATGTTCCGTTATGTGTCAGGCAGCAGGGAAAATGGCCACTATTGGAGCCGATGTATGGGCATTTTGTTCTAGAACTTCAAGAAGTATGTATGAAAACCCTAGTGATTTAGTTGTAGGAACGTTTACAAAGTTATTCTCAAAACTGAGTGAATGTTTCGTTATGTGTCAGGCAGCAGGGAAAATGGCCACTATTGGAGCCGATGTATGGGCATTTTGTTCTAGAACTTCAAGAAGTATGTATGAAAACCCTAGTGATTTAGTTGTAGGAACGTTTACAAAGTTATTCTCAAAACTGAGTGAATGTTCCGTTATGTGTCAGGCAGCAGGGAAAATGGCCACTATTGGAGTCGATGTATGGGCATTTTGTTCTAGAACTTCAAAAAGTATGTATGAAAACCCTAGTGATTTAGTTGTAGGAACGTTTACAAAGTTATTCTCAAAACTGAGTGAATGTTTCGTTATGTGTCAGGCAGCAGGGAAAATGGCCACTATTGGAGCTGATATATGGGCATTTTAAACAGGCTTCATTGATCACTGAAACATTTGGTGTTGAAGCTTCTGGTTGGGCAGAATACTCTCACTGGCAAGGATTCCTCCCACAGTGAATCCTCTGAGAGAAACTCAAACAGTGTAGATATTACTCAACCTGTCTGTCATAGCCACAATAGAATCAAACCTCGAATATTGTACCAGAATGATGATATTATCATGATCTATCATGTAACTATACTGTTACTATTTCTAAGTGAGCTACATGACACTCACTAAGATGCTAAGGTATGTGTTTTTGGATGCAAGCATGCCAACAAGAATAATACTTTTCAATGAAACAAAGAAATCAGTTATTCAAAACTCATAAAGCATGACAAAGTAGAGATAATTTATGGACAACAACTTCTTTATTTACTGTTGTCATGCATAAATTATCTCTACATTGTCATCCATAAACTTCTAAGTAATGCTATCAAACAACTCATTAAGCATGTACATCATTTACTCTTGTGGTCCAGTGCACATGCAAGTATTTTTACCATGTGTTGTCCAGTGTACATGTGTACATGCAAGAACATTCATCACTTGCTTCACATAATAAACAACATCACAAAGACAAAAAGTATTCTTATTACAAAATGTTACTTCTGAGGTCGCCGTAAATAAGGCACCAGGAACTTATTTAAACCATGCCATCATGATTTCAAACATGTCATTGGCATTATATCATACTGTTCCCGTAAGAGGACATATCTGATATGAAGTTGAGCCTCCAATACAAGACAACATGACAGACTGAAGCTATAAATGCCGGGGCTGCTTACACAACCTGCACCACAATATGGACAAGGGGAAGTGATTTCCTTTTTCTATTTTCATACTAACAGTGCATAAAAGAGGTAACAAAGTGATAAATCTGCCTCTAATAACTGCTAAATGTCAATTAAACCAGGGATGAACACATGAAATCTAGCATTGTGGATCTCTGGCAAAGGAAATATCCTCTTCCATGAAACACTTCACAAACAAGGCGTTTAAAAATCTACATACAAAGAGAGGCAATGACTGGCAGATTTTTGAACAAAACACAATAAATTCTTTCTTTTCACTGCATTTTCACCAGATAAACATGCAACCATACATCACTGTACCTGAAGAAGAATGTGAAGGCGTCCCGATTATGATCTATCATAGGGGTTTATTGTGTCTTCTCTATGGTCGATATACCAAGCACACTGAACACAGAGCGTAACTGACACCTAAGAAGTTAAGAAGAAAGTTCTATTTATTCAACAAAATTGGCAAAAAGGTGAAAGCGTTTTCCACCACCTTCATAAATTTACATTAAAGAGTTACAGTGAAATGGACAAGCTTATTCACATGACAACACCCAGAGAGTTACACTGTAGCTGAATGCAACTGCAAACTGCAAGTCATCTCATCGCATTGTGTTGTTTTAAGTACATATTTTCCGAAATCTTACACCATCACCAATCACCCTCCCTATACATTCCTAGACTGTGCAGCTTCTGACGCAAAACACATTAACTCTTCTGACAGTTGGATATGATTTATCTCTTAGCTATTTACACACATGAATATAAACACAATTTGTAAATCCCTCTCATCTTCAATCAATATTTATTTAAAGCGTGTCTCTGTTGCCACAAGCCCCGGGCATATCAAGGATGGTACATACTCGCGATAAACACTACAGTTGTGAAGCGATACTTGAGCAGTTCACTGACACGGACAAGTGTTCCATGACGAGGCAAATATGGCAGGCTGATGAAGTGTGAATGTTGCCCTTTACCTCATCACATCCAGCAGGTGTCAGGGGTAGAAAAGGTCTGAGGAACACATGTATGATGCCCTCTGCCCCCATTACATCCTGCAGGTGTCAAGATAGATAGATTCTGTGATAGAATACTTCCAAGGAACCCATGTATGTTGCCCTCTACTCATCACATCCAGCAGGTGTCGGGGTCAGGATAGGTTCTAGGAACCCATTACGTTGCCCTCTACTCATCACATCCAGCAGGTGTCGGGGTCAGGATAGGTTCTAGGAACCCATTACGTTGCCCTCTACTCATCACATCCAGCAGGTGTCGGGATCAGGATAGATTCTAGGAACCCATTACGTTGCCCTCTACTCATCACATCCAGCAGGTGTCGGGGTCAGGATAGGTTCTAGGAACCCATTACGTTGCCCTCTATTCATCACATCCAGCAGGTGTCGGGGTCAGGATAGATTCTAGGAACCCATGTATGTTGCTCTCTACTCATCACATCAAGCAGGTTTCGGGATAGGTGTGAAGATCAAGGATATAATAGGTCTTCAGCAACCCATGCTTGTCATAAAAGGCGACTATTGTTGTCATAAAA